CTCGGACATAGCCCAAAAACATATCGAGCCTGACTCTGGGCTTAACATGTGGCTTGAATCCAGCACGAAACTGGGCCTAGCCCGAAGGCCTACAGGGTTGCAGTGGCTAGTTAACAGCCTTAGCCAATTGCATATGATTAGAGTACAAAGATCATTTGTAAGAGTGACAAGAGTTGATTCAGGGTAGGGTGTTTGAGTGGAATGACCAGTAATATGAGGGTAACCAAGTTGTGGTTACCACTGACCTTTTCATCTGCAATAATTCACAAAAGAGATGCATAGATCATCCCAAAACTCTGTAGGGAATTACTTATCAAAGGACATTTGTCATGCTCGTGGCAAGGACGACACCAAGAGTTGATCGATTACTCCTTCTTGTGGTGAAACCCCCACCACAATAAATCTAATACCTCAAAACCAATCTCATATCACCAGCAAATCAATTCCAGGAATCTAATTACCCAAAAACTGTATATGATATATAAAATTAAGAGAAGTAAAATAGGAAATCAAAAGACATAACTACAACACATACTACACACAATAATCCAATTACTACAAATGCAAAAATATTTGTGGTTCAGCTTAATCATGTTACATCCATAAGCAATTGGTAAGGAATACAAGATTTGGGTAAATACTTGAGTTACCTTACAATAAGTAAAACACCACAAACTTCCCTTTCCACTATCACAATAGAGCCATTGATCCAACCTCCATCGTTGTGTAAAAACATGGCTTGCCTCACAATCAGTAAAGCACCACCAACTTTCCTTTCCACTACCACAAAAGAGCCATTGATCGAACCTCCAACATCATCTCCATCCCCGTGGATTCTTCTGTAATAGAAAACATTGCTGAAACCAATTGAGATAGGGTACGATTGTAGCTAGGGTTTTGCCCTAAATCTCCAATATCTACCTCACAAGAGCTCTCCCTCACAAGATCTAGTTTCTCTCTCTGTACAAAAGTTTATAAGGCCCTCACTTAAAGTTTTTTCATAATGACCAAAACTACCTATGAATAATGAGAAACCCATTGGAGGTGATTTTGGAATACAAATCCAACAATCTCCACCTTGATTCAGAATCACACCCTTGCCTTACAAACCATATCTAGTTATTCTTTGGTTGAAAAATCTAGAGAACTAGACTCTAACTAAATGATCTATATGAGCATGCCTTGCTCATTTTCCTTCATGCTTGTTCTTCTTATACAAACTTCACCTTCTCCAATTTTTTATTTTTATTTTTGAGTTCTTGGGGCCATGGCACTTCGTCACATGCTCTGGGTGTAACCCTTCTTGCACAATTGGTGATCAATCTATTGTCACCAAGATCCCTTGCATAAGTTATTCCCACGAAGGCGCACATATGTTCGAAATCTTGGTCCTTGCCCATACTTCTCAAATCCCAAAGTACCCATTTAACTCCATTCCAGAATTTCTTTCCAAGGATAATCACAATCCAATCAAGAAAGCAACAAACACGTGAAATAATAAATTTTAAACAACTCATGGCAATGATCAAAATTAACCAAGTATTGTACACAAGACTCTAATCATATTCCCTTCCTCCACCAAATTTCGAGCATTGGTTCGAAGGAAATTAATGAGGTCCTTCTGGATTTCCATCTTCTTGTGAAAGCATCAAAACTTCAATTCCTCTACTTGAAAGTAACTAACTTATGGAAGTAAGCCCAAAATTTTGATAAGGCATCCTCTGCATATGGTTGAGGGAAATTAATACGAATGGAGAACGCAGCTAGCTAAAGTTTAATCACTTAGACCCAGTAGTTAGAATAGGCAGTTTGATTTCTGATGGACAGTATGGGATCTACAATACCTTTAATATAGGCAATGCTAAAGAAATCAGCAGTTAGAAGAAAATCTTTTTACAGTCAGATTTAGTCCCCTGATACAAAGGAATTAACTCCAGAAAAATAAGAAGCCAAAAATAGAACACTCATGACACGGGTTCATCTTGAAAACCCCAAATGACTGAAGCAAAAACTACCTTACAGAAGTAGATGCAAGACTTTCACTCCTGCCATCTAATGTCACCACTACAAAGCCCACGCTTTCAGTTCCTTGTCTGATCTCACCTATATCATTGCCATCTGTTAGTAATTGCCATCTAGCAACAACATAAACCATATTTACTTTCAACAGACAAGCAAGTCCACAAGGAGGCGTCAGACAACTGCTGATCTTTTTGTTGGCAGCAATTATACAAGAACTCCTCATTTGGAATCACGTGGTTGACCATGCCTGTGAGATGTTCAGTAAGAGCCCTTATCGATATAGCTCTTGTGCTTTGCGCTAGATTACGAGGAGCTAATGACCTTGCACACAGTGAGTAAGCTTCCATTCTTTTAGAGAATGCTATGGGAACTTTAACTGAGGCCATCCTCAACTTCCTATTTGTTTAAGGGCATGGCATGGGAAGCCCCTTAGTAATGCTCCTGTGCTCATAATAGAAAGGAGTTTTCACTTGTCAAGAGACCAGAGGTAGGGCCTTGGTGGCAGTACCACCAAGCTCCATGAATGAAGTCTCGCACTACATTCTCACCAAAGGAAAAGGGTGGGGGACGAAATCCTCGCAAAAGAAAGAGAAAAATATACAAATAGCAAGGTCGAAAGTTGAAACCATACATGGGTCACATTTCTTCCATTTTTGCTTTATGAGATATCTTTGTAGAACAATTTAGAAAAAATAAAAGCAATTACCAATTAGAACATATCCGTCATCTGAGCCAACAACGTGACGAGTAAGAAAATATACACGAAAACAATGAGTTTCAAAATTTATTGCTGTGAAAAAAATAAGGCAATAAAGACATAATTTCCTAGCTTAAAAGCATGGCATGGTCTAAATATTATCAATGCCAAATATTTCAATGACATAATTGTACATTAGATGATCACAAAGGAAATTAAGAAAAAAGTACTTGCAGGATAAGGCAACATTAAACCATGTCAATCTGGTATATGAACATCGTTTTAACTCGATTTTTTATGACTATTTTCTCCATGTTTTTGTGTTTATCACACAACATTTTGCATTTGGAGCTTTTTTAAGCCATGCCAATCTTTTGAGTTCTTTTCCCTGCAATTTGTAATGTCATGTCTCTTGCAGGTAAGAGTCATGTCACCATTCCAGAAGTGCTTATCTAACATCTAGCTGCAATGAGTAATCACTTGATTCTTGTGAACTTTTATGTGCTCCTTTCTGTATCATTTCTTTTTGTCATTGTTATTATAGTGCTTGATTTCAATATGGTGAATTGTTTTCTAGCATCGTCATTGTTATTATAGCGCTTGATTTGTATTTCTCCATATGCAATTGATAATATGATGTTCACCTTTCATTTTGTGGAATTTAACTATATAGGAGTTTGATTGGTCCAGATGGGTAGTGCATACACTATGAGAAAACAACTCAAAATTGCTCCATTTACTTTGGTAAGCACTTGCTTGATTGCTTCATCCATACATATCACGCTTAAAAATATCTACCTGAACGATCTTTTCATGTAGAGAGACCATATTTTTGTAGAGTGGAACCACAAAGTATTTCTCACAATGTATGGGATAAATGAGAAGAGATTCAATAAGGAGGCTGGTGGGTATGTATTCATGATTTCTTGACATCAATTCATTAGTATGCCATGTCATCAGCCAGAAATAAGTAAATAAATAAATTCATTAGCATCTCATATCATCAGTTAAAAAAGACAGAAAACCCAAACTCTAAAGATATTTAGGGATACCATCAAAGATATTTATGGGGCAAAGTCAAAGGAGTTGGATAACTATAATAATGCTATTCGGAACTCAAAGGCCAGTTAGATTTTAGTCACAAATTTCTCTTATAAGAGACGGATTTTGGAGGACACTGAAGTTGATTATTTACTCAGGCAAAACAATAGTGTGTAGATCTGCACATACATCTATATAACAAGGGTCATTTGGTCTGACTCCATCTCAACTACTGTAATAGTTTCTGTGAATGAAAATGAAATCTAGTTTCAATTGGATTATTACATCGGATCCCCTGTTCTCTTGATGTTTCCAGAAAGTTTTGATTTCTGGAAGAGAATTTACAATGTGTCAAGTGTTTCTGACTTCTATTTATTGTTCTTATTGTTCTAAGTTCTAACGACAACTCCATGTGTCATGAGATCATGCAATGACACAGGGTCCTCAGAGTTTTTATAGTAAGTGTTAATCTGTGACCTACACTTCCGAATAATTGTTGTACATCTTTGATTGAAGCTTGTCAGAAACAATTCTATTAAAACGTTATCAGGGAGTGATTGAGTACTTATGTTTCAAAACTAGTAACATGGGATGACATTAGCAACCATGATTGATGACATCATCAATGGTAAATTTGAAATATTGGGGATAAAATATTTCAAATATAAAGAACTTCAATAAGGATGACCTCCAATTTGATATTGGAAGCATGAGATTGGAATGCATGCAAAAAAGTGGAGACCTCAGTGATGCCTATGGGTGTGGTTGGCTCTACAAGGGATTGAATCCCTCAGATACAAAAGTAAATGGCGTTCAAGTACACAAAATGCCCTTTTACAGAGGTTACAATAAGAAATAACAAAATGGTGATTTTGCAATTGAGTCATTGCATCACATGCAATGCACACAAAGTTAATTGCAGTTTCAATTTTCTAGAACCAATGTTCACATGGTCATACTTAATGGAAAACAGTATTTTTCTTTGCTGTTGGTCCTCCCAAACAAGTTCTGCACGTTTATTCAAAACTAAAATATCTACTGTTTTTTTGTCTTAAACATCAAAGACGGGTCCAGGATGCTTAACCTGTTGCATGTTCATGTAATCCTCGACCATGTTTTCTTTTGGGTAGGCTGTTTTAGCAAACCCTCACCTATTTTCTAAGTTGGAGAAATATTATAATTGATGTAATTACATAAATTAGGCAGACCCTGGCAAGATTTTATGTAATCAAATGAACTCTTTTTTTTTCAACCTCTTTTGATGGTATTCAGAGTCAAAATTTTAATAAGAAGTTTCCAGTCATACAAAAAAACCTCGTCTAGGACAAAGCCTTTCAGATAACTTGTTGACAAACTGAATTTCTTTTATAAAATGTGCCACTTGAAAGCTGGACCCTCCCTTTGATAGCTGAAGGAGACTAACACAACATCATCCAGTGGGCTTCGTTGGCGAGCACCTACCCATGGACCCTCGCCCATGTGTTTGAAGAAATAGCCCACATGTGCTCTGGGATTTCCTTCTCTTGGAACCATGTGTGGTAAGAGAGTAACTCTCTTGCGGATAAATTGGCCAAAGAGGGAGCTGGGCCCTGGGCCCTAGTGGTTTCGGGCACCCCTTGGCTCACTTTCTTGATGGGAGCTTTTTGCTTTAGTTCTAGCTGTATCTGTCCGTTCAATTACCCTTGATTAGGGGATACTGCTTGTATTTAAAACTTATAGTAACACAATGTTAACATTCTCAAAAACAATTGCCACCTGAAATTCTTGCAAAAGATTCCACATGTTAACTTTTCCAAATCAATATCATTCTCTGTTTTCCTCTTCAAAGCTTGATGTGGCAGAACTCATCTTCTTATTAGTTGCTTTCATTTATGGTCAGTAAAAGAACATCTTCAATTCCCTGATATTGTGCTATAAATTTCTTGATTCATTGTTTGCTATCATGTATTCCATTTATTGATTTTCTTGTTGGGAATATCATGTTAGTTATCACAGTACTCCTAACTGTGGAGCCCCACAAAGAGCCATGCTTGGAAGTGCTTGTATTTGAATGTAATGGGATGAGCATGACTAAATGGTTTCAAGGGAGAGAGCAACAACCAAATCTGGAACACAACCGCCTCTGTTCTTATAGTCCTTGTTTCTTTCTCTGATCTCTGTTCTCCTTCTTATAGCTTCCTTTGCAATTATCTTGCTGTCCGCTTCTCTCTTCTTTTGCTTGTCTCCTACTTTGACTTCTCCTTTTCTCCTCTCCACACTCCTCACAATTGCTGTTTTTTCGTCTTTCCTCACAGGTTTCACCCTTCTCTCTTTTCCAGCTTGCTTTTCCACATTTTTCTCCATTTCTGCCCTTTTTCTCATTCTCTTGTCAACGACTCCCTTTTCCCTGAAGTTCTTTGCGTTGGCTTGCTTTCTCTCCTCTCCAATTTCATCCTGTTCTCTGTTCTTCTCTCTGCTCCATGACTTTTATCTCTCTCTGCCCTTTCTCTCTATTTTACCTTGTTTCTCTCCTATCTTCCATTTCTATCCTTCCTCCAAAATGCAGATGGGCTCCTTCATTTGCTGGTCTAAACCTTCCAAAATGCTATAGATAACCAGCCTTTGAGGATGCGAAGTATCTCCAACCACAAATATATGTGTCCTTCTCTCAAGTTCAATCCAACTGCATCCTGCAGCCTTTTTCAAATCCCTTTGCTTCATCAACCTTCTCACCTCTTCAACCCCCTCCCATCTCCCATTAGCTGCATAAATATTAGACAAAACCACATAATTCCCTGTGTTACTTGCCTCCAGATCAAACAGTCGATATGCAGCAAGCCTTCCGAGCTCCACACTCCCATGGATTTTACATGCACCAAGTAAGGTCCCCCATACGTTGGCATTGGCTTCACATGGCATGCTCAATATGAATTCATATGCTTCATTGAGATGTCCAGCTCGGGCTAGCATGTCCACCATGCATGCATAATGCTCCATGGTGGGCTTGATTCCATATGCATCATACATGGACTTGAAGTGCTTCCATCCTTCATCTATGAGGCATGCATGGCTACATGCGGTGAGAACAGTGGTCATCACAACATGGTCAGGCTTTATGCCTGAATATACCATAAGGGTGAAGACTTGCAATGCGTCTTTGGCATGACCATGCATGGCATAGCCACCCATCATGGCAGTGAACATAACCATGTCCCTCTTGGATCTTGTACTAAAGAGCTTGTGTGCATCTTTTATGCTTCCACACTTAGAGTACATATCCAAGAGTGTTCCTTCCAAGCATACATCGCTGAAATATGATCTCGTTATGTATGCGTGGCATTGTTTCACTATGTGCATGGATGCCAAACATGCGCATGCAGGGAGGATGCTCATAATGCTTATGGCATCAGGTCTCATCCCTTGATTTTGCAAATCATGAAACAAGTCAATGGCTCGATCCGGATTGGTATTCTCAGCATTCAATTGAATCATCAAATTCCAAGTGGTAAGATCCCTTTCACGCATTTCACGGAAGATAGTTTCTGCATCATCTGGACAACAATTTTTTGCAAATCCAAATATCATTGCATTGCCCGTGATCACATTCTTCTCAGACATGTTCTTGAAAACCATGAACGCATGATGGACGCTCCCACATTTCGCATACATGTCCAACAATGCGTTCCCAACTGCTAGTTCAAGTGAGAGACCGGATCGTATGCAATAGCCGTGCACCTCCTTGCCATGTCTTGGGTTGATATAAAAGGAGATAATGCTTAGGATGGTTACAGAATCAGGCTTGGTTCCTTCCATTATCATTCGATTCAAGAGACTACCGATTTTATCCTCTTCTCCAATTTGGGCACAAGTTGCAAGCATTGTGTTCCATGATATTATATCTCTATTGGGCATCGTCTCAAACGTCAGATATGCATCCACTGTTTCCCCACACTTTGCATAGAAACTGATCAAAGCATTTCTCACAGCAACATTATCATGTAACCCCATGTCCATGGCTATGAGGCCATGAATCATCCTTCCCACATGCACATGACCCAGTTGAGCACAAAGAGGCAGCAAAGAGATGATGGTTATGGATTCAGGATTCATCCCATCACAAAGCAAATCCCTGAAAAATTCAACGGCTTTACTTAACCAACCATTCTGAGCATATCCAGCAATAACTGCATTCCATGAAACGATATCTCTCCATTTCATCTCTCTAAAAACGCGTTCTGCTCCCTCCATGTCCTCAACCCTCGAGTAATAGCTCAAAAGGGCATTGGCCACACTTGAGTTCGATACCAACCCGACTTTCTCGACATAGCAATGGACCTCCTCACCCTCTTCACATTGACCTTCTAATTCAGCACATATTGAAAGCACAGTAGCGATGGTTGCATAATTCGGGGCCTGATCCTTGCCTGAAACCATGCATTGAAAGTATCCAAACGCCTCCTCAAATAGCCCATTTTGAGCACACCCTGCAATTATAGCATTCCATGAAACAACATCCCTATCAGGAAGCCAATCAAACAATTTACAAGCATCCAATACTTTCTGGCACTTCGAATACATCGAAAGAATTGCATTGGCAACAAGAGTCCAAGACTCGAAACCCATCTTTATTGCATAGCCATGGAGGCCTTGACTACTCAATAGAGCATTTAACTTTGCACAAGCAGTGAAAGCAACAGCTAGAGTAATGGAATTGGGCATAGGCATCTCTTCACTCTCATGCATCTCGTGCACGAGCGTCAAAGCCTCAGCATAACGCATGGTTTGTACAGAAGCCGAGACACAAATGTTCCATGTAACCACATCCCGATGCGGCATCTCTTGAAACAGGCAGCTAGCCTCACTTGAAGCACCACATTTTGCGTATAAATTGAGAAGGCCTTTGGAGACACCTTCATCTGAGCCATGGCCCAACTTGGCCACCAAATTGTGGGCCATTTTCCCCAAGTGAAGGGAGGAGAGGGTGGTGCAAGCCTTGAGGACGGGGTGGAACGTGTAGTTGTCGGGTTTGCAGCCTGAGCGGTGCATGCAAGCGAACAACGCAAGGGCTTCGTCGGGTTGGTTCAACAAAGAGAGGGAAAAGAGTATTGAGTTCCAAGATGTGGGGTTGTTGGGTTTGGATGCTTGGTTGCTCTGGTTTTGGAGGGACTTGAATTTGATGGGAGGAGTGGGTTTGCAGTGGAAGAGCGATGTGATTTCGAAGTTTGGGATTGCTGGTTTCTTCATGTAAATGTTTCATGGCACTGGGTATGGCCAGTGAGATAAACAAGAATACCGCCAGTATCAACCTTCAAAGACAACATCAAAATAACCATTTCAGAGGAGCTCTATGGATAAGATAAAAGAGATGCAATCAATTGGAAAATGGATTGTACAAACTCATTCAATAGCATAGACTAAGGACATAATTTTGCTAAGAATATCAAATGCACATTAAACAATGGCTTCCACATTGAATTCTAGTATTGCAAGACAGTAACTAACTCATGAAAGTAAACCCAAAATTTTGATAAGGTCTCCTTAGCATATGATTGAGGGAAATTAATACGAATGGAGAACGCAGCTAGCTAAAGCTCAATCACTTAGACCCAGTAGTTAGAATAGGCAGTTTGATTTCTGATGGAAATGCTAAGTATGGGATCTATAATACCTTTAATTCAGACAAGGCCAAAGAAATCAGCAGGTAGAAGAAGTTTTTTTCACAGTCAGATTTAGTCCCCTGATACAAAGGAATCAACTCCAGAAAAATAAGAAGCCAAAAATAGAACACTCATGACACGGGGCCATCTTGAAAACCCCAAATGACTGAAGAAAATGGATCGAAAGCAAAAACTACCTTACAGAAGTAGATGCAAGACTTCCACTCCTGCCATCTAATGTCACCACTTCAAAGCCCACGCTTTCAGTTCCTTGTCTGATCTCACCTATATCATTGCCATCTGTTAGTAATTGCTATCTAGCAACAACATAATTCTTAAAAACACCAAACTTACTTTCAACAGACAAGCAAGTCCACAAGGAGGCATCAGACAACTGCTGATCTTATGGTTGGCAGTAATTATACAAGAACTCCTCATTTGGATTCACGTGGTTGACCATACCTGTGAGATGTTCAGGAAGAGCCCTTATCGATATAGCACTTGTGCTTTGCGCTAGATTACGAGGTGTTAATAACAGATTGCACACAGTGAGTAAGTTTCCATTCTTTTAGAGAATGTTATGGGAACTTTAACTGAGGTCATCTTCCACTTCCTATTTGTTTAAGGGCATGGGAAGCCCCTTAGGAATGCTTGTGCTCATAATAGAAAGGAGTTCTCACTTGTCAACAGACCAGAGGTAGAAAATGGGCTGGGGCCAAGGTGGCAGTACCACCGAGCCCCATGAATGAAGTCTCGCACTACATTCTCACCAAATCCCCGTAAAAGGGTGAGGGTCCAAATCCCCGTAAAAGACAGTGAAAAATATACAACTAGCAAGGTTGAAAGTTGAAACCATACATGGGTCACATTTCTTCCATTTTTGTTTTATAAGATATCTTTGTAGAACAATTTGGAAAAAATAAAAGCAATTACCAATTCGAACATATCCGTCATCTGAGCCAACATCGTGATGAGCAAGAAAATATGCACAAAAACAATGAGTTTCAAAATTTATTGCTGTGAAAAAAATAGGGCAATAAAGACATAATTTCCTAGCTAAAAAGCAGGGCATGGTCTAAATATTATCAATGTCAAATATTTCAATTACATAATTGTACATTAGATGATCACAAAGGAAATTAAGCAAAAAGTACTTCCAAGATAAGCCAATATTAAATTCTCATATCTACTCCACCATTCTGTCATACATAAATAAAAGTGATTCGATTTTATAAAATAATGAAATGAAGAAAAAAAAAAAAGACCTGTTTTGTGGGGTAATGATAATTTTTCGGTCACGTAAACCTAGATATTTATATATGCCATTTTTAAACCATAATAAACCTTTCTACACAAAATAAATGAAAAGCCTCGGTAATTTAAAAAATCAACCCAATGAATAAAATTATGAAACCTCAATAAACTAATAAAAGAAACAAGAGTTCCATGATTTGCCATATTTTCCAAATCAATAGTAAATATAACTTCTTCAAACATCAATACAATAAAAACCTCAAAGATTGTAACCCTATGGAATGGCAGTAGTTACACCACTTGAAATAGAACATTCACTAATTAAGACTAATTAATAACTCGAAAGAAAAATTGACAGTAACTTTAGAGAGAGAGAGAGTTGCAAAAGACGCATAAAATGAGTAGGGAAGAAAAGGTGCTCACAAGTATAGAAGTCGTAAACAGTCAAATTGGATTTGGAGTAGTGGTTTAAAAAACAGATCGGTACCCTGGATCAGGCACCCCAAAACCCATCTGGATCGGTGAATCGGCATTTTGGATCGGGAATCGGTTGAATTCGGCCTTAAAAAAAAAATCAAAAAAATTATTAAAAATCATTATAAATGTTGTTTTTTAGGAATCCAATAAGAAATGAGGGTACTAAATTAATTTGCTTACCTTTAGCCAAAAAAACAAGGGTACTAAATTAATAACTTTATTTTTTTGTATCAAAATGTGAAATATTGAGATGTTCTTTCCCTGTATGAAGCTTCTCATCAAACATTTATTAAAACCGGACTAAATACAATATTATACATTGAAATTAGAATTATTGGTTAGTATTTTATTATTTTATCATCATTTTACTATACAAATAAGAATAAATTTGAACTTTGTCTTATAATATCATCTAATTTAAAAATCTAATATACAACTATAACAAAAAATAATACATTGCATAATTTGTAATGTAAATAAATTAATAAATAACATATAAGACCTGATTGTCATTGTAATTAGTATAATTATTAATAATAATAAACGTGATTCAAAAAACAAGGGTATGACCCTCACAAATAAATAAATCTAATGTATAATATTAGTGTTGATAGAAATATAGAATTTAGGAACATAAATTTGCAATCATATTTTAATAAAATTAAGAAAATAAATAAATAAATTCATCTTTGCAATGTGGGATAATTGATAAAGTACCTTGAAAAAAATTCTGAAGTGGTATGAGCTAGTGTTATTTTTCTCTCTTAAAATATCTTATAAACTAGTATTTTTTTAATGTTCAATAAATCAGTATTATTATTATTTTTTGCTTTTTTTAATATCCTATGAGCTAGTACTAATTTTTTAATCCCAATTAGCTAATAGTTTAATTCTATTAGTCTATTTTTGTTTTTTTTTTTTGGACAAGTAAATTTAAATTTTTTTTGGTGAAGGATAAGGGTAGTGGGCCCTATCAACCAATGTATCAAAAAGCGCTAGGTGGGTCCTAGACGGCCTGGGGGGTCTAGGCCACCTAGCGCCTAGGCGGGCGCCCAGAACCTGGGCGGCTGCCCAATTGGAAAAACCATACCAAATACCAATATACCATATTCCAAGTTGAAAAAAAAAAAAGATAGACGTTGAGAAGAGAATTTTGATAATCCATATTGTTAAAACAGTAAACTGTAAAACCATACAAGTGTAGGATATAAAAGTCAACACTCAACACAACAGAAAATTCAGAAATATACAGAAATTTAGAAAATATACAGTCTAACAAAAATCAATACTCATAACTCAACACAACAGTTAACACTCAACACTCAGCACCCAGCACTAAGAGGCAAGAGTCTTCAGTTGTCATCATCATCATCAGAAGGAATATCAATAGGGCAAGCTTCATCATATGCATCAGAGTCGAGGCCATCATCATCAGAGTCATCTCCCTCTTCAATATAACACTCGTCCTCCTCTGTTTCTTCTGAATCTGACTCTTCCTCCTCCTCTTCTACCTTCCTCTTACTAGTATGTGCAGTCTGTGCAGATGAGGCCCTAGGAGTCTTAGTTGCTCTACCCTTTTTTTTGTGCTTCTCTGAACTCAAATATTGTATAATTTCCGCCCTAGTAGCCTCAAGAACATTTTTACACGGGGCAACATCCCTTTTAATACCGGCAAGATGTTTTTTAAACTGGTAAATACCCCCATTAGTATCCTTTCCATAATAATTACATTTAATACGATTTTTATCACTTGGATTCGGGTTATATCCATACTTTCAACCCGGATCACCACTCTGACTAGAACCTGGAGAATATACTTCCATAGAATAGGGCTTATTTTCATCCTTTTCTAGTTCCTCTAAATTCAGAAGATGTCTAATCTCATCCTGAACTGCTTCAGGAACCTTTGTACAAGAAGCAACATTACCTCTAACACCAGCAATGTGTTTTTTGAATTGGCTAATACCCCCATTGGTATCTTTTTCACAAAAATTATACCTTATATAATTTTTATCATTTGGTTTTGAATTTTACCCATACTTCCAACCCGGATCACTTCTTCTAGAATTAGCAGAAATAGATCTATGACAAGGATTTTGTTCTTGTTTTTGTTTTACATAACTTATGTATTGCTTAATCTCCTCTTTGATAGCTTCAGGAACATTTTTATAAGGGACAACATCCCCCTTAATATCGGCAAGATGTTTCTTAAACCGGTTTATGCCTCTTTTTGTATCTTTTTCACAAAAATTGCATCTAACGCAATTTTTGTCATTTGGATTCGGGTCGTATCCATATTTTTAACCTAGATCTCCACTCCGACTAACTCCTAAAGAAGACATCTCAAATAAAAAGAACAATCTAAAAAATAAAGTTTTGCACTTACTTTGATTGCTCGAACTCCAAACTTTGAGAAACACTTCGATCCAATGAAATGTAGTTTTCTGGAGGTTTCCTTCTCTCTAAAAGGGGCTCTTGTGGGTTTAGGTTTCAAATGAACCTAAAACCCTTCCTTCTAACCTTTTATATCTATTTTTTTTATAAAAAAAAAAAACATTTCCGACTTTGGGCGAGGCACAAAGTTGCTGATCTCTTATTCTTACTCTCTTCCTTGGAAAACATACCTTGCGGTCGCCCAGGGACCACCGCCTAGTTTGGCTGCCTGGGCCTGGGCGATGCGCCCAGGCCTTATGGACCGCCTAGGCACTAGACGGCCCATTTTTTTGAACATTGCTATCAACTAATTATTATTTTTAATACTTTTCCTCCTTTTTAAATTAGCAATTAAAGGTCACCATGTTATAAAAGAAATTAATATAATTATGCCATTTATTTCTTGGTAAAGAGCTAGGTCCCGGCCTTTTAAACCTAACCTTTAACGCCAGTGGCAAAGAGCCATAACTAATGCCATTTATTATATATTAGAGAGAGAGAAAAAGCCAACACTGCCAGCCTCCATTAGTTATGCCATTTATTATATATGAGAGAGAGAGAGCGAGGAAAAGCCGACGCTCCCAGCCTCCTTTAGTTGTCCCACATGAACAATCAAGAGAAGTTTGACATGTATAAAAGTTTCTTCAATGGTGCTCTCATGCATGCGCTTGAGAAGCATGAATGGTGGTAGGGCTCGTGTTCTTGGGGGCTGTAAACGGACAAGATAAAGGGGCACGTTGCCCAAGCAAGGCATGTAGGAGAAGATGCTTGCCTCAATTTTTAAAGAAATTATAAAAACGCCCTCTCGACTTACAAAAATTACAAAAATGCGCTTCCGACTTTGAAAATTTTCAAAAAGTGTGATGGTTGGATCCCATTTTATGGGTAGATCCGGAACGATCTAGCCAATACCCGATCTGGATTGGATCGTTGCCCTCCCGACTTTGAAAAATCGAAAAAAGTGTGATGGTCAGATCCTGTTTTATGGCTGGATTTGGAACGGTCTAGCCGATACCCGATCCGGATCGCTGACTTTTTGAACATTGAAGTTAGAGAATACGACATGACATAAATAAATAAAAACACATAATTATTGGGGGATCCATTTTAAAAATAGAAAAAACTCAAATAAATAAGAAGACATAATTATTGGGGGATGAATTTTAAAGAGAGGAAAAGGATTTAGGTGTCGATGAGAGACGGAGGGAAAGACAAGGTTTGGCAAAACAAGGGTCGGCTTTGATACCAATAGTCAAATATTCACAGAATTTCTAAATAATTCAATAGTCAAATATTCCCAAAATTTCTAGGTAGAATTTACAAACAGGATGGGTAAAAAATAAAGCAGGACAGATATATCATATACGCAATACGAGCTTTATTATAAAACAAATACTTACATTTCACATATACAGAAGCTTGTGAGTAGCTTTAACTACTCTAGGATGTATTCTGGTACTGCTTTCCAGAAACAGTCACACATATGCTTTCAAATAAACACTCTTAAGACTATGATTTTACAGACTCAAAGCAGGGAATGAACTAGAAAGAGAACGCCTTTGCTTGGAAATACTTAGACGAAATACTCAGACACTCAAACTCTCTAACCCCTCTAACTCTGGTGTCCTCAATGAGGCTTCTTCCTCCTTTTTATAAGTGAAGGTCGGACTTCAAATTTTATTTTGGAGTTCGAAAAGATGATAATGATGTGACACAATATCTCCAGCTGGCCAAAAGTAACAGGAATCCTTGAATTATTGTGCCGACACTACAATGATCTGTCCTAGCTGCTACAGTAGCCTGAATTATTGTGCCGACATCTTGTCCTTAGTACAGTTACCCATGTCGATGGAGAGTGTTGTCATGGCTTACGTCGGCCTTTTTGGGCCTTCGTGTCCTGGATTGTTATGGAGCCGGCCCGGCCCATTGTACTTGTTTATCTTCTTATAGGTGTAAGGACTCCATAGGAGTCATCTTCATTTTCTTCCACATGATCTTCCTCCTTGTCTTTTGAGGAGATTAAGGACATATCATCTGGCTCTTCTTCATTCAGAGCTAATAATAATTGTCTTTTAATTTCTTTATTTGATAAACTCGGATTATGCTCTTTCAAGAGTTTAAAATATTCATCAATCCTATTAGGATTTGGGGTTTCAAGATTAGCTTGTATAAGTTTTAAATATTGTGGTTGAAGATAAGTATCCTCGAATGAATCCCACCATTTTATCATGACCCTCCTTTCTAAATAAGGGAGATAATCCCATTCAATATTATTAGGAGTTATCATATATTCCCATTTAGGAATCCAAGGGACTTCATATAGTGCTGTAAAATGCATACATATATCTACTTGATTTATTCCTCTATTAGAGGGCTGAAAGAGCTCATATGATTCTTTTGGATAGATGTCTGAAGTAGGTTCCCAGTACAACATCCATCTTTTAAACCATTGCGGAAATGCACTTATTTTAGTATTTAGTCGGAATTGTAAAAACCAACTATGGGTCCTTTGAGGATTTTGAAATAGCAAGACTACATCCCAAGCTTTAATGTAGTCATAACAATTATAACCCCTGACCTTTAGGGCTCCTGAAAAATATTTATGTTTTAGGGGATCAAAGCCCCATTCTGCATAAGTAATGATCGTTAAG